CATGGTGGGCAACGCAGGGGTAAGTCGATCCAGTACATGGGCAACGGAGATATATGGCCAAAAAAACAAGGAGAGGGAAAAGGGGGAAAAGCAATAAATTTTAATTTAATACAAACTATACTCATACTCTCAATTAATGAAACAAGCTTAAGTTGTTCTGAAGACTAACACAATAATGGACTTCTCTAAATCTGACTGTGGCTTAACATTAAGGACCTCAAATGATGGTTCTAGCCGTTTTTATTTTTTTAAGAAAAACAAACGATGTTTCAGTAGCAGGCTGGCTCATGAGGGTAGACACAAAACCTGACTCAAAGTTTACTGAAATTCTTGAGGAAATGGGGAAATAACCCAGATAATTATACAGAACATCTGGATTAAGAGGAGAGAGGTTTTATAAAAGACAAAACAAAAATTCCCACACCACCAAAAACCCTAACTAATAAGACTGGTTTGGTTGTCTGGAGGTTTTAAAACGCATTCCTAGATCCTAACAGGCAAGTTTGTAAAATTTTAAACAAAATTTCAAGTTCAGTTTACAGTAATCAAGAGGAACATACAAAGATCTGCGACCGAGAGAGAAATGAAATACTGTCAAATAAGTACTCGACACAAAGTTATTTGCCTCATTTTTAGCAAGAAAAACATTAAGAAATGTGTACACTATGAGAAAAAAAATTTAGAAATTTTGGTGTAGCCAAGTCCTATAAACGTGCTCACTTCTGGCACTGCCAACATTTAATGTGTCTAATCACAAGAGTCAACCCACTGTAAAATGAAGACTCAAACAAATCATAGGCATTGACGAACAGTTTCCCAATTATAAGATTAAGTGCCTACTCTATTCTTTACCCATATTTAAATCATGCAACCTCAACATTAAATTCTTTGTGCTCCATGTGCAAGCCGTTAAAGAACAGATGGACATTTTTCTTCCCAAAGAAAACAAAAAAAATTTTTCTGGATTTAACCAGCCACCTGCAATGGTTTTCAGTAATACTGTAATTGATTCACACACAGGATGGTGCAATCAAGGATTTTTACACTTTGTTGCTATTTCTAATTAAGATGTTATCTTGCTTGATGAAGTGAATAGTTTGGTGGACTCTTATTAGAATGTGAAGAGGTTTAATAGAAACCACCCCCCCAACCCTGCTCAATCTGGGCTTTTGTTAAAACAGGAATGGATAACTTTGAAATCAATTCTGTAATAATAAATTGTTACGAATGTCTTGTAGCTAAACTATGAAATGATTTCTAGGATGTAAATCTTTAAATTTCTATAGACATATAAACTGAAACTGCTCGTGTACTAGTTTAATATCTTAATACTTACGTCTGTACGGAGAGCCTTAATATTCTTGCCTCCTTTTCCAATCACTGCCCCAGCATTCTGGAGAACATACAAAGACAAAAAATTATTTTGCCTTTCCCTAAAATTAATGTCTACCTATACTCTTAGGTTTTGCTAAAAAATCCTCTAACCTGTTTGTTATAAGAATAAAAATCTACTTGGGGATGTAAAAACGACTAGGCCAAAAACAAATCAAAAATCAAAATATAATTCTAAGTGCTTTGAGGACTAAATAGTTTGGAGTACTCAACATGAGAAATACACTGAGTATAAAATAAAACTAAGCACAGATTTTATAGCACCTTTTGGTAAAATAAATCAATTAATTTAGTATTAGTAGGTACCTTCATATTGTGACCCGTGATAAAACAATAAACTGCCAACTAAGCAGTTTCCTAAGGAGTCCACACATAATTAAGATTTAATCTATTAATACTTTAAGAATCACACTCTCCTCCTAGCTTGACCTGTAGTGGTGGTTCACTACAGCAAAGGCTTTAATCTTAATTATAAGTGGAATAACAAAACCACCAGAGCCTTCAAGTGTGTTTAGAAAGAACCACAAACAAATGTTTTATATTCTTCAATCTGGAAAACTTTTGACTTTCTAGAAAGCCAAACCAGACCTTATCTTAATTTCCACTTGAGTATGAACCCCCTTCAAAATTTCAAGAATAAAATTCATACCTTGCTTTGAAGCAGAATGCGTAATTCAACCATCTCATCAGTGTTTCTAGATCTTTTAAATGCTTGTTCCTCTTCCATATCTTCTGCAGGGCGTTTACCTAAAAATTAACAGTTCAGATTTCAAAGAAAGCAGCGAAGTCTCCAAAGCAACTCCATTCTGTTTCAAGAGACTTGTTGCTAATCTTAGGCATGTTTTAGAAAGGCCAAAGGCATTGCTATAGACTTGAACCTTATGCTTCCATCTAGTAAAATGTACCAAACACAAAATACTGTGACAAAATACTTCAAAGGACTTGAAATCCCAAAATGCAAGGAAAATTTTTTATATGCAAATCAGTTACTTCAACTTCATAAATAAAAGCTAAAATGTAACTGATAAATCGCTGAATTAAAATTACCTAAACAGAAATATCAAAATTTCACCACACACTTCTAGGCAATAATTAACAGAATAAAAAAATACTGTTAAAATTAAAATTTATTCTCACCAAATTCACCATTGGTTTCAGTGTTAGGGAAGGTTTCTTCTGGCTGTTCAGTTTCCATATTCTTTTATTAAATGGGCACACCAATCTGTTGAAAAATAAAGACGCTAGTACATTTGGCTTATTGGAAAGCAAGTTGTAAAAAAACCAACCAAACAAAAAAAACAACCAAAAAAAAACCCTTGTTTTTGGACGTTCCCGTTTTTTTTTTTTCTTTGCGGGGCGGACTTGAGGGTTTTTGGTTGGGCCAACAACTGACACCCCAGTGCTGCAGTAGCCTATAAGAACCAACAGAAATCAGTTTTGCTTTTGTTTATTCCTATTACTGAATATTTGTTTCTGATCACAGTCAACACTGATTTGAACCCAAAAAACTAGCTGCTTCTACAACTTGACTCGTTTTAGGGTTTCGCAATTCAAATGACTGCCTAAAAAATACAAAATTCAACGGAGCCTGGTTTGATTTTTTGCTAAGTTAGAACAATAACTTTTAGCCACTGAATTAACTCCCAACACAGCAATGAATTGTTTTATACGGCACATTCACAAAAGCCTGAAAAGATAAATGTCATCCACAAAGCATACCTATCTTATTCACTGGAAAAACTAATTTTATATTAAAACTTCTAATTGCTTTTCTATTTCTTTCGACTCATACTTGAAGCGATCTTATGTGACACCCCGAAAGTTTACAAATACAACGGCCACTGCGACCACATCCATCAACAATCTACCGGAGGGATAAATCCAAAAATCTAATACAGGACCAGATCCAAACTAACACACTACCAGTCTATTAACCAGCGAAGCTAATGGAGCCCTTGAAAACTAACAGTCACTAGCGGACTATTTTAAATTAGGCTTGAGAGAGTACAACCCGACAATTATGCCTGTAATATGAAAACTAAAGTGTCTACGCGCCAGAACGGTCGACAGGCCTGCAAACAGCCTTTTTAAGCTTCCCTCTTGTCGGGACTAGGAGTTGACAAGCGGCCTCTACTAGAAGGTTGGCTAGACAGCAAAGAGCCAACAATCGAGGCACTTTTATGCCTCCCATTCTCCCATACCGTTGGCGGACTTATCGCTCTTCTAACGACTAACTGAAACGACATTCTCCTGGCCCAGCACTCAATTTCTGAGGTGGGGTGTGAGAAATTTGGATAAGAAAGTTTAAGCAAAAACAGCAGGGCTTATCTGTAAGAATAACGCTGCCGCGTGCCGTTCACCCTTCGGGTCCTGCAGTCACTAGTCCCCAGGCCCCGAAAATCCGCTAAGTATGTGCTCGACTGGCCGAGCGCCAACGCGCCCTCCCCTCCCCGCCTCCCGGTACCGGGATCGGAAACAGCCGGGTAACAGGACTGGAAAAAGCGAGAGTCGATAGCAAAAGCGCCGCCACCTCTCCTCACCCGGATCCGACAGGAAATGGCGGCCCGCGTAATGGCGACTACGTGCTACTAGGCGGAGCCGAGCGCCGACCCCCTCCCCCACCCACCACGCGGTCCCGAGGTCTCATCCCCCGCATCCTCCCCCCATCGCCCGAGACAAAGCCACCGAGGCAGCCCTGACTGTTCCATCCCCGCCGCTCCAGCTCCGACCCCGGGTCGGGAGACCCAAGGTGAGGCGGGGCTCACACAAAGAGAGCGGCGGCGCGACCTTCTCCCCCAGCCCGGCTCCTTTCCTCCACGAGGTTCCTAGTGCCACATAGCTCCAACTCATTCTAAAGGCACATGCCTCACGAATCCCCGAAGTCTCTAGGACCACAACGCGGACTGCGGATACACGCTCAGGGAAATGGCGGAGGTGGGGGAGGGGACGCCGGGCAACGTTCCCACTCGGAGAAGCGGCCAAACACCAAAGCGGCCCCCAGAATGCCTCCCTCAAGCGGAAAAACTGGGCTCCGACCCTCACCTCCACGAGCCGCTCCCCCAACCCGGCTTCTCACCGCGCGAGGCCGCCGTCTCTCTGCAGCCGCGCCGCCTCAGCCGGTCGGAGCTAGACAGAAAACGAGCGCAGGCTCCCCTCCCCCGCCTTCTCGCGTCCTCCCCGCCGTCGCGCCCTATTGGCTGCCAGGGCTTCGGCGATGGTGCGAGGGCGAAGCAATTGGCCCGAGGCCACGTCAATCAAGGCGACGGGGGAGGCGACAACCCCGCCTCCCGCCAGCGCCTCCCTTCGGGCTGTGAGGCCACTAAGGGCTCGAGAAAACCCGGGCTTGGGAAAAGTCAACGCAGCCTTTCAGGGAGGCCAAACCCATGCCCGAATCAGCAATACCCAAGCTCCAATAACTCCAATTACCTATAGGCCGCGAACAAGTGGGACACAGGCAAGACGTCGAGGTCGGTGCAGCAGAGAAACAGAGGATAATGGCGTCTGCAGTGCTGTCGCCTGGAGCGCCCTCCTCCTTTCTCGTTCGCGCACTCACTAGCTGGGGGGAGGAGCGACTAGGGGGCGAACCTCTCGCGAGATCTAACAACTGCCTAGTTCACGCGCACAGGGAGGGGCCGGGGAAGGGGCGTTTTCCAGGCCTGAAGGAGTCCTTTGGGGTTGGAGGAGGGGCGCGAGCGCGCGACAAATCGGGCGGGAAGAGGCAAAAAGGGATCTGGGAGAGTGCTGCGGCGGTTCCTGTTCTTACAGTTGCGCGGCCCAGGGACCGCTGTTGCGCGAGGGAAATGCGGGACGCCCAGGTCGGTGCTTGGCCCAGACTTATGCCCCTGTTTCCGCAGCCCACACTTGCGCCCGAAGCCCCTTAGCCCGCCCCGGGCTGTGGGCTGTGGGCTGCGGGACTAGCTGCGCCGCGGTAAGTGCGGGCCGCCTGCCTTCGCTGTTCTCGGCTCACGCTTCGGAAACCCGCTGTTTGTAACGGTCCGGGGCCTCAGTCAGCCAAGGCTGGGCCCGGAGGCGCAGCTGGCGGTTCTCGGCCCGCTTTGCGCTGGGGCGGGAGCCGGGGAAACGCGGGGCGAGCCTGGGAGTTCTGGAGAACTCGCCGAGAAGAGCACAGGCGGGTTTCACAGGGCTCTCCGTTCTGATGAGACTTTCCTCTTGGGTAATGGCGCCTGAGATGGTGGAAGTATTTTGTAGTGTCGTCGCTGTAGTTTATTCCGATAAAATTTTTAGGCAATGAATATTGCTCTCGTCTCCTAAGATGAATGCATATCGCTAAATACGTTGTAGACCTCCACGTTCCATTCAAAGCGCCTGCCTTGTTGTGGCAGTGATGAAAACAGACAAAAACCCCAAAACCCTCTCCCGCAAACGTGCTCCTGTTCTAGCGGGTTCAGTTCACAGTTGCATTGTATTCGGTTCCTTACTTCTAAGGCTCCTGTGCCAAACCTTCATGACTTTGTTAAGGCACATAAGGTCACTTTCAATCGGTCACAACCCTGGGAAATCTCCAGCCCTGGTAGTACCCGCTTTCCACATCCTTACTCGTCAACCTTCCGGCCTCCGCCCACAATCCCAAACTCATTTTGAAGCATAAAGATGTTATAATCTGCACATGAAGCGAAATCCACCATTGACCGAATACATTCATATGTATTTTAGTGGTGATGAATTTGTGCTGATTCATTCCTGTTATGTTTCCTTCTTGGGTAATTTGCAAAATATATATACCAGCATTCTTTTTAATGGGCATGATTGCATCCACCCAGCATCTTTTACTTGCCTGATTAGAGGAAAACTTGTTAAGGTACACTGAGGATTTCATGATGAACACCGGTATTTACATTCTGGGAGGATACGTTAACACATACTGTTAGAACATAATGTCCGGGATTGTAGAGTTTATAAAAGTTCTCTTTAAGTGGTAATATAGTTTTTAAAATGGTTCCCACCATGAAGAGTGTATAGTCTTGTTGGGTAGGTAAAACTTAACTCACATTTCAGCTCTAAAACACAAAGTTCAGAATTTTATTAAATATTCAGCTTTGATGAGATTATGTAGGGGCTGGGGATACTTGGATCACAGAGATTTAATCCGCCAGTTAGGATTTGCAACATTTAATTTTGTCATTGAAAACCTGAGACATGTCATTGACACTAATATGCACAAAGAGCGGTACGGTAATAATGATGCTGTACTTTCTTAAGTTAGTATGTATGTTGCAGTCATCATTTTCTTGATAAGCAGTGATGAGCGGGAATCACAAGTTAAGCAGCCCTATATAAGAACTTCTTCCTCCCAATTTCATTGCCAGACCGGACCCCGACTGGTGTAAATTATTCATCCTCTCTAGATGCCATTGTGGGATGGTTGCTGTTTTTCCCCCATTTGATTTCCTCTTTACTTCTTTTAATATTTAGGTTTGCTATTTAAATAACAGGAAAGTCTGTTTTTTCTCCATCCTTTTATTCTCTGTTTGAAATTAAGACTTTTCAACCCACTAATTTTATACCTGTGTTCATTCAAGAACTTACCAATAAATTCATTGACTCCAGTTTTGTGTAATTGGTTCTATGGTGTAATAGTGTAGTGATCATTTTGGACTCAGTGATTTAGACCCAATGTTACTTAGATGTGAGATTTACTTCAGATGGGCTGATACAATTGAGATTGTACACTATCCAGCTGGATTATTGTTTAAAATAGTATTTATAACTACTGTTTCTTGAGTTCCCACTGCGTGCTAAACATTGTGCTGGCAGTTTAATACTTTTTAGAGTTCTTTAAGTTGTTAGTTATCTTTGTTTTATGGATGAACGAACTAATACTAAGAAGCTAAGAAACATATCCAAGGTCACATAGCAAAATTGGGTTCCAGATTCTCTTTTCTGTCTTTTCCTTACCTTAGGTTATGGAGGATCCACAAAAATCTCCTCTGATTATTTCTTTTAATTTCCGTCATACACAGTATAAATTTTTCCTCCCTAATTTTTGGAGTATCTTCTCAAAAATTCCAGGATTACCTTGAACTCATCCTCAATGAATTAAAATGTAGACTTACCTTTATTGTTTAGATGAAGATAATGGCTATGTGGAGTAGATTTAAATATTCATTAGTGCTGTTAAGTCTCAGCTGCTGTCGGAATGGCACACGTAATGTCCAAAAGGATGACACTCCTGCCTCACTTTTTATTTAAAAAAAAATTGGAATATATGAGGCTGACTGAAAATTAATCTAGAAATCAATTAATCTAGAAATCACCTAGACCTTCGTGGTAGGTGATAAAATTTTCCCACTTTATTCTCTTTTGTTTAGTTCCTGGCAGTCCAGATCTAGAATGTAGATTAGTGTGGTCAGCCAAGTTTGTCATTCACACAATGCTAATCATCTTTCTTAAAAATGTTTTTTTCCTGATTATAAAATTAATGGGGATTAAGCTATATGTAATTTTATATGTGTTCTTTTCCTCAAAAAAAGTAAATAAATGTATTTCTATGTCATTAAATTATTCCTAAAAATGGCTTCTTTAAAGATTTCATAGCTTTTGATTTCATGGTGGCGGTGAAATATATTTAACTTTTTTCCCATTTTGAACATTTTGTTTGTTTTTTTCAAACTATAAAAACTCACTGGTAAACACTCTGCCACATAAATCTTTGTCTTTATTTTGTTACTTATTGATACATAAAAGTTGTGCATAGTTTTGGAATATATGTGATAATATATTCAATTAATTTGTAAAGCTCAAATCACAGTACTTGGGATAGTGTCTCCTTAATATATACGGCTTTCTTCTTTTTGGTCCTTTTTTATTATTGTGTCCTTTATTCTGGAAAGTAAAAGAAGTGGATAATATGGTATGAACATACTTTTTTTTTTCCTGAGACCGGAGTTTCACTCCTGTTACCTAGGCTGGAGTGCAGTGGTGCAATCTTCGCTCACTGCAACCTCTGCCTCCTGGGTTCAAACAATTCTCCTGCCTCAGCCTCCCTAGTAGCTGGAATTACAGGCATGCACCACCACGCTCGGCTAATTTTTTTGTGTTTTTAGTAGAGACGGGGCTTCTCCATGTTGGTCAGGCTGGTCTTGAACTCCTGACCTCAGGTGATCCTCCCAAAATGCTGGGATTACAGGCATGAGCCACCACGCCTGGCCCGAACATATCTTAATGTATAATGTAAAAGACATTTTTTCCAAATTTATTATTTTCTTGGACAGTGGAGTTCTTTAGGATCAGGAGCTGTTCTTTGTACATTAGCACACGGGAATTTGTGCTGCCCTTGCTAATCTCCACCTCTGAGCTGCTTCTGCCTGCTTGTGACTATGGTTACCCAATTTCCTAAGCAAAGGAAGAATGAAAACCTTAGGAATTTTCTGAAGGACTAGATGCCATTAATATAATTTACCAAATTATTAAAGGTCTCAATTATTAATATCCAGTCTAAACTTTATAATATAGATCTTATTTAATATTTTTCCATTTGATTAAACATTTTAATAAGCTTTTCTGTAGGAAAAATAACCTATTATACATCATCTTTTTATTATAATTAAGACATGCAGTTGTAGGAATTGTATGAGTATCCTAGATCAATCCTGCATAGTTTTGGAATATATGTGATAATATATTCAATTAATTTGTAAATCCCACTGCGTGCTAAACATTGTGCTGGCAGTTTAATACTTTTTAGAGTTCTTTAAGTTGTTAGTTATCTTTGTTTTATGGATGAACGAACTAATTGCAAGTTCCGCCTCCCGGGTTTACACCATTCTCCTGTCTCAGCCTCCCGAGTAGCTGGGACTACAGGCGCCTGCCACCTCGCTCGGCTAATTTTTTGTATTTTTTAGTAGAGACGGGGTTTCACCGTGTTAGCCAGGATGGTCTCGATCTCCTGACCTCGTGATCCGCCCGTCTCGGCCTCCCAAAGTGCTGGGATTACAGGCTTGAGCCACCGCGCCCGGCCTGCCTTCTTATTGTTTTTATTTTTATCATTTTTCTGCTCCTTTTATGTCTTCTGTTAATTTTAAAATATTTGAGAATAGTTGTGTTGGAATGCTTGTACAGTGTTAAGTATCTCATCACATTTGCTTGTGTTTTACAGGTGTCTTGGTTATCTTTTGGGTGTTCAGTCACTGGAATTTTTTTTCTTTGCCTAGTTATGATAACGTTACTGTAAATTTATAGTATGTTGGCTTCAGAAGTTGAGGGTAGTACTTAGAGTTATGAATTAGGACTGACACATATTTAATGGAATACTTTAGTTGTTGGGGTTTTCTGAGCAGTGTTTTTCAGAATTCGTCCCAACTTCTGGCTGAAAGGAGTTTTGCCACTTGCGGTGTTCAATAGCACGTACAACCGGGCGCGGTGGCTCACGCCTGTAATCCCAGCACTTTGGGAGGCCAAGGTGGGCAGATCACGAGGTCAGGAGATCGAGACCATCTGGCTAACACGGTGAAACCCCATCTCTACTAAAAATACCAAAAAATTAGCTGGGGCCGTGCTGGCGGGCGCTTGTAGTCCCAGCGTACTCGGGAGGCTGAGCGCAGCCAGAAAGAATGGCGGAAACCGGGGAGGCGGCAGTGGTGCCGTGACGCCGAGATTTGCTGCCCTGCACTCCAGCCTGGGCGGACAGAGCGAGACTCTGTCTCAGAAACAAACAAACAAACAAAAATAGCACATACAAGGAAGGAGCAAGTTTTGAAATTAAAAAAAAATGAATTAAAAAATAAACTGATACATAAGCCTTAGAATATCAGTTTGTAATATTCAAAAAATGTAAAAATTACGTGCTATGTTAGTAGAGTTATAGCAAAAGGAAAAGTAGTACTTAACTGCAGCGCTATGTTGAAGCTATCACAAAGATAAATATAGTAGGTGTAGGTGATATTTTTAAGTTTTTCTTTATTTGATTTT